GTCAACACACTCTGTCCTGGCTAACTCACGTGTCGAAACACACTACCTACCACGCACCACACTTTGAACATTCTACTGATAACACACTGTCACTTTCCAACTGTCCTACTGCCATTTAGCAATAGTAGGAGATCCTGTAATTCAGATGGAGCCAGACAGAGAAAAGAATGGTTGAATTAGTGGTAGCACAACATAAAGCCGGCTATAAACTTTCATGCAACAAGATGCATGTTATGAGTTGCATGCAACATAATTTCCATGCAACTTGACAGTTAAACAAAGCAAGTCAGAAACAATGTTTTTGCTCTGTAATGTCATCTGCAAGGTGTTATTTACTTGCAGTTTTTAAAATCATTTTTTATCACTTTTTTGGCTGACATTGCTGTTCTATTTATATATCTATACTTCTGCTCTCTCTCTCTCTCTCTCTGGCAGCCATTCTGTCCTAAAAGTATTGTAAGTTGATGGAGGATCACTTCTCAGAGTCCTTTTCTATAATAATTTGAATTCTTTGGATCCCCAAAGGAGTCTCTGCTCTTTATAAATTAGAAGAGAAAAATTAATCTAGCTTCATAGATCAGAGTTTCAAATGACTTGCAGGAAGCTTTGCGTTATTAACTCAAGCTTATTTTAGTTTCATGTGGTTTTATGCAACTAAAGTGTCAAGCCAGATTTAGTTGCAGAAACTAACTAACTCAAATAACCCAAACTGACATGAAACGCAATGTGACAACATGCTGTGAGCACAGCGCAAGTGACTTTTTTCATGTCGACTCATAACATAACTGCGTCAGGTGGACATATCAACACTTTGTTTCTCGTTTTATACAGTTTTAACAGCAGATTTAAATTGTGACAGTTTAAACAGGTGTAAATATCTGTTTATTGCATTGAGATCTTAATCACAAGTTTTTACCAATATGTGAAACAGTGCTGGCACTGCCCTGCAGTCACTAGGCCATAAGCGATCATAGCACTTTAGCAAACTTTGTTTTTAAATGTAGTTTACAACGCCATAGAAAGTGGGAGTGGGTGATTTGCATTATTCTTTATGGAATTTATGCTCGGCATGTTAAAATGTGACAGGGCTAATGTTTTGTCCTACATATAAAGTGCATTTTCTTTCAGTTACTGAAGACTAACCAACGTTTAAAATGGAAACGTATCTGTTTTTTATCAGCTGGACAACTGAAAAATGCTTCAGACTTTCGTATGAACTGGCCTTATGTCATTATTGAATGTGTGTGTAATTGATTTGTATGTAACCTACATACAAATCTACAGTCCTGTCTAAACTCAGTAAAGAGCACTGAGATACTCTGTGTTTCCAGTTATCATAGATTATTGAAGGTTTTGATCCAACAACAGCGATATATAAACTACACAAGGTTGAGTTACCTGTTTAAACTGCTGCACCATTAAGCTGGACTGTGCTGATGTTGGTAACCAAAACTGGCTGGTTGAAAACAACGGCAATGAATATACAACCATACTTAATAACATGACAACAAAAAAAAAGCCAAGAGCAATTCAGTTTCTCATTAGACTGAATGATTTTTGTCATTGTTCTGTATAGCTTGACCACCTCCATAACAGTTTCTATTAAAGAAAGTGCTGATAGGTTAACTGTAAATAGACATTTAACAGTTTTACAATTTTTTGTTTACTTCTTCCCCAAACTACCAGAGCGGGATATCCTGCAGGAGAATGGGGTTGGCTGGTTTTTGAATGGACACGTCCCAGGACGGCTGCTGAAATCTCTCCCGCCCTGTCCCAAGATTCCACCTCAGTCCAAGAATAGAGTGTTTGCCATGTTCCTCTATGCAGAGTTCCTCAAAGAGCTGGCAGCCATTGCACAAGAACACTCAATACTCCCTGACCTACCCACAGAGGAGTAGAACCTCCAGTAAACATATCTACAGATGCACTTTCCATATATCAGTATGTCAACAGCAAATGCACAGCCTCAGTACAATCTACATTGAAGTATGACCTTTTAGCAACATTCAAATGCAAGTGTGTGTATCATTCAATGCGTATTTCTTAAATTTTCCTCACGCCAGCCAATAAAAGTCATCCAGTTGGTTGGGGTGAATTTTTTTTGTTGTATTTCTTTGTAGATATTGTTAACTGCACTTTTTCTGGTCATTATAATCCTTTTGTTTTTTTCTGAATTATGGGTATTTTTTACATTATACGCAAAATGTAGCACCAGGAGCATCTTTGCCCACAGTGACTCAGTTAAAGCTGCAGATTAAGGGCCTTATTTACTAAAGCTGCTTGCATGCACAGACTGGTTTGTTCCTAAAATGTGATTAAATAATGTTTAATAATTGTTCCTGAGGGCACCTGGTTGGTTCATTCTAGTGAAATATTAAGTAATTGATCACAAGCACTAAAGCACTAAAGTCCTTAATAAATATGGCCCTAAGAACCTAAAAGAACTCAACTGGAATTTGTTTTGCTGATGTTTGTTCAAGAGGGGTTCATCTAGGTGGGTGGGGGCTGAGAACGAATGACAAATCGTGACCTGCAATGCATCTGGCTGTTCTCTACACTGAAGCAATATGAGATTAGATATACCTCATCTCTAATTGGTTGCTTTGATTTTTTCATGATCGTTTTTTCCATGTGTATTTGTAAATGCATTTGAAAGTTGATGTATATGCACGTTTGTTTTCTTTTTTGATAAGTTTTCTGATGTTCTTTATATTTTGGATAGTACACTAGACTAAATGAACCTGATGCTGCAATTTGTACAGCTCTGTGTTAAATATGTGTGACCGTTCATTAAACTCTTTACATTCTGAAAGTCTTGACCAGTCAAACTGCCAAATCAACTGTTATGATTCCTCAGCTTTTGGGAAAAAGATTGAGGGTAATTGCTTTCCATAAAGTAAAATAATGTGCATTAGGTGATCAAAGGATAAACCAATATGCCAACGTTTTGTTACTGTCCAAAAAAAACAAGTATCTCTAGAATAACTGCTTACTTACTTTCAATGTAATTTAATGTAGAGAGATTTCATTTCAAGGAATTTTGGAGTGTTTCTGTTGGTCCATTCATCATGACATTTCATAGAATATTAAAGGGCAGCTGAAATGAAAATGGAGATATTTGTCTATTTTGAACAGCAACAACTTAAAGGTCAATTTGGCTGAACACTCCTAATCGTGAAAATGTTTTGAGCTGCTGACTAGATGCCAGTGGCACATCATAAATCTAAATCAGTTAAGTAAAACATCGCAGTCATGTGTGATTATATTCTTGAACTATTTTTCAGGAAACATTTTTGATGCAAACTGTTTTAAGGCCTTGTTTTTGGTAAATATTTGCACAGCTAGTCTTAAAATTAAAGAAACTTTTTTTAATGAAACTGGTCAGGAGTTTACATCATGGCTGCTCTTGGCATTGTTAGTATGTTGGTATTGGTAGTGTTTTTAATCTCATATGATTATACTGCCCCCTTGTTCTGATGAATAAAACAACAGTGTTTAACTAATGTGTATTTTATTTTAGTGTCAAGTGTTAAGACCTTGTTCTTGTTTGCACAGCCTGCAATAAAATCATGCAAAACAATCAGTTTTTGAAATGAGATTGACCTGGAATGACAGCAATGCTATAAATAATATCAATAGTGCATTGTTATGTGTAGTATTTTAAATCTGAGTGGACTGATATGGTCATGCTGCCCCCTACTGTTGATTATTAAAACAACAGAATATATTTTATTTTACATCAATCCTTGTACAGAGTAGAATAACATAATATTGGGTTATTATATAATGCTATATAATAGCTCCTGAACAGAGTCCCTCTTGAGCCACAGACGGTCCAACTCTATTATTACAACTTGGGAGGTCAGTTTATTGTTTTAAGAACACCAAAAGCTTCTTTGTCGATCTGGAAACTGGGGAATGTTCTCCTTTGGTGTCTATTTTCTTTTCTCAGTGCAGGCCTCCTGATGGCTACACATCCTTTCAGACTCATAGTGCTGAGTTGTCTTCTCACAGTGGATGAATAGTCAGAAACACTTGAGGATGTTTTCAGATCTTATTTTCCTTTTACTTTTGCTTATGTGTGTGAAAATTACAGTGTTAAAAAGCAAAACACAATTAGTTTGCATCTGTTCTTTAAGAAAACAGTTCCTTTCATCATTTACACAAGACTGACTCAAGTTTGTTGTTTTGACTTTTATTCTATATTTATACAAATAAAGAAAGTACAATGTTGTCCTCGTATCGTTGATTAGGGGGGTCCGTCATAGCATTCACACTACAAATGTTACTCGATCATATGCATTCCTGACCACCTCCAAAGGTGGTTTGAGTGATCTGATCTCAATGCATCTCTGAGATGCATCGGACTCTGTTCACACCTTACTAAGCACTGTCCACTTATGATCGGACTTTCCAGCTGTGAACAGGGCCAGAGAGATTCTTTAGTATTTGATTTCGTATGTGTTCTTAATTTAGTGATACAGTAATGGACACTCATTACAGACTCATCTTTATTTACAAATGTATAATAGTAGACATAATAAATTATGTATTACAATATTAAATGGTTTATACTCTGCAGTGTTGTATTTGTACTCCACTTCATTTATCACCAAACTAGCTTACCATTTTAGCATCACGTTGCACTGTTTGTGCCAACAACATGCTGTCAAAAAGTCTGATGATGAGACGAGCTCATGTGTGGGCATTTTGACAAGCAGTGGTTTCCTGTAGGGTTCTGAGAAGAGACAGTTCATTTACAGATTAAAATAAAAAAAACTCCTAATATGCTCCTAATATGGTTGTGTTACTGCTTGTTTCTCTCCACCTCATTTCTGCACTGGAATATAAAAGGGAGGTCTCAGTATGACCACACCACATAGCAAAGAGTGTAGGTGATGGTCTGGTAAAAAGAAAAAAGAAAAATCTCACTTGCAACTGGTTTCTAACTTCCTGGCCCTTATTCATCATCAGGACCCGAAAACTCACAAAGAGACATCATGGCAGTAGGAAAGGAGATTGTGGGCATCGTCCAGGCTCTGATAGGATGGATCTTAGCTATTGTCACCTGTGCTCTGCCGAAGTGGAGAGTCACAGCTTTTACTGGCTCTAACATCGTCACATCACAGATCATCAGGGAGGGAATCTGGATGAGCTGTGTTGTGCAGAGCTCTGGACAGATGCAGTGTAAGGTCTATGACTCCATGCTGGCTCTGTCTTCAGACCTGCAGGCAGCCCGAGCCATGACTGTCATCTCCATCGTCACGGCTCTGCTGGCTTTGATAATCTCCATTGTGAGTGTAAAGCGGACCAACTGCATCTCTGGGATCCTCTTCCTTATTGCTGGCATCATTCTGCTCATCCCTGTGTCCTGGACAAGCTACACCATCATGCAGGACTTCTACAATCCTTTACTTCACTGGGCTCAGCGCAGAGAGCTTGGAGAATCCCTCTACATTGGCTTTGCAGCTGCCGCTCTGCTCATCATTGGAGGAGGTTTTCGTTCCTTCGTCTGTTCTCCACAACATAAAAGCTCCAGATAATGCTCATCTCCACGCTCCACCAACGGCTATGGCAAGAAGGTCTATATTTAAGATGCTTAAAAAAAAAGATTTGTATGATCCCAAGGGAAGTGAAGATGACTCAGAGAAGACTCTGAAATAAAAGGCCATGCTACATTTGCATTGTGCTACATTTGCTGTGTGCTTTTGGAGTTTTAAGGGCAAACATGTTAAGAATATGCTGTTTGAAACATTTATCTTACAGAAGTAAGTCTTAATACAGAGACTATTTTTGTAAAAATATCTGGTTCAAATAATTACCCTGAAATGCTTTTACTGTCATTTTGCCAAAATTATACACTTCATAATATTATTATCACCATTTTTATGTGTCTTTTGTGAGGAATCCATCAGACAATTTGGCCGTAAAGAAATCAGCAAAAATAATTAGAAATATAGAAAATGTCAAACAATTAAAGAAATCTCGAGTGTCTGTGCAGATACATACAGTGTACTTACACTTACATACAGTGTACTTACGCACATAATCCTTTGCATATGACTGTATATGCAAACACACAAGAGTTTGAACACCCCCTGGTTAAATGACATGTTCTGTAAATTTTCTAAGTGAAAATAAGTGAACACAGCTTCTGTTGAGAACACACTTAAACATGGCATTTTTCTGCCAATTTTACTGTACTATTTCTATTTATTTGTTTAAAACAGAGTTTAAAACATTGGAAGAAAACATAAAATATTTAATGTGCCATAACTTTTGCACAGGCCACATAATATTTTTTACATTTGTTTCCCACTATGTTAAATTCCACAAATAAACAGTGATTGTGCATTAAAATGTGCTGAAGTGTGTTCTCTGTACAGAATGTGTTCACTTATTTTCACTTAGAAAATCAACAAAACATGACATTTGACCAAGGGCGCCTCAATTCTTGCATATCTTATACATATATACACAGTGCTGTATGAGATTTACACACACATTCACACACACACACACACAAAAGTTTGGCCAACCTGGTCACCCCTGTTTTGTAATAAGCATTGTTTTCAGAGTTGATGTCTTGTGAGCTGCAAGTTTTTCATAAGAATTCAAGTTTCAACTTTGACCTTTGAAATTGATCAGCTTGTTTTGTATGATGGGTTATGGATACATGTTTTTTGCAAGATGTATATATTTTTGAGGGTCATCATATTTGCATTTCACCTCACTGAGCATTCAGTTCAACTTTGTCAATTTTCTCATTTTACATATGTTTGTATGGATACATTGGATTGTGTGGATCTGCCAACTTAAATTCTTTCAAAAGCTGGCTGGTCTCTCCATCGAGCTTTTGAAAGAATTTAAGTTGGGAGATTTAGCAAGACTCATCTTCACAATCCAATGTATAACAAACTAACAAAAAAAAAGCAGTGACTGTCTTTGATCTGAATCAGAGAAATGTGCATATTAAAAGCAGAGGGCACACGATTTATCTCTGTAAATAAACTTCCTTTTCACAGAACTTTAAACTATTCCTTCTCAAAGTTCTGTGAAAAGGAAGTTTATTTACAGAGATAAATTGTGTGCCCTCTGCTTTTAATATGCACATTTCTCTGATTTTAGGAAAGATATTCCTCTGATCTTAATGTTACACTGACAAACCAGCACATGGCACATTGTCCACTGAGCCCAAAATAAGATACCTTGTGTAGAGGACAATAACTGCCCCACCTCTAACGTTTCACTGTTAGCTCTACAGCTCATTTATTAGCTTATGCATTAGCACATCTATTGCTTTAACCCACAGTGGCTAAATGACTTCCCTTGGTTTTTGAAAAAAAACAGCATCAGTAACTTATCTTTTCTCCTCATCATTTGCACTTGCCACGTCTGAACCCATTAAACATCTTTACTATTTCTGGCCTGAGTAGTGAAGCAACATCATGTTTTGTTAAAAAAGGAAAGTCAACAACAAACACAGAGTGTTTCAAGAACAAAACCAGTGTGTTTCATCTGTTCAGAGTCTGTGGTTCTCGCATCTCTCTAAGATGTAAATGCAGCAAAATAACACTTTTACCACCAAGTAATCAGCTTGTTCATGCAAAGCAATTCAATGTGGATAAATATTCAAATCTATATATATCTGTAGTTTTTATAGGTCTGCTAAGTAAAAACTCCGGAGCGAGTTACCTTCTTTAAGTTGTCAAACTCAGAGCGCCTTCAGTGATAGTAGTCCTGTTCGAATCGTCCTCATGGTAATGTAATAACAAATCCTAATAATAGACATCAGCATCTCTGCAATAGGGAGATGAGGCTAAAAGGAGCGCTTGGCACAGCAGTGCTGAAGAAAGATCATTAGAACCGTTAGGATCAAAAAGCCTAATAGTTTTGCTTTCTAATGAGAACTGGCTTAATAGTTACTCTTAGAAATCACTACTTTCCTGTAGGACACCTTTAGATCCCATGTCTGTTTGGGACCATTTAACTCTAGCCTTTACGCTGAAGTGCACATCCTGGCTATCTCTGAGGTAAGTTAATGTTAATTTGGGGAAATTACCCAGATACTTTCTCCTGTATGAATCTGCCCGAAATCCCTACAAATTACATTACCAGGTCTCCTGTGGCAAAACTAAGCCAGTGCGAATAAGGCGCAATATGTAGCCAAGACTTGGTGCTGTTTCATTTGGTCTACTAAAACAACAACGACTGCAAAACCAATCGACAAGTCAAGATATATATATATATATATATATATATATATATATATATATGCCACCAGCTCTAGCAGAATTTACTTTTACAAAGATTCTTTAATGTAATCATCTCTTAATTGTGGTACTAGCTACTTACTTTTTAAAAGCAGAATTTAACTCCTGAAATATATTCATTATCAGTATTCCACTTCCAGTCTGCTCTGCTGGTGAAAAGTCTTCAGTGTTTTTGGGCTGAATTTATCAGTCACAAAGCTAACATCTGTCTTTTCAATAATGAATACAAGCCAACAGTTTGAACTTTAGGACATGAGATGAGTAAACATATTGAATAACCAGCTAATGATGTGAGTCTTAATGCCTAAACTGTTTGTACGTCAAGCATACATTATATCGAATGCTAGGAAAGAGCTTCCAAAAGGGAGGGATCGGGGTCAGACTTAACCCAACTCCTCACATGCTGTAATTTAACAGGACCAAATTGCCAGCCGGTCACGTGTATTTTCTTCAGTAATATTGTGAATTTCATGTGCAAAATTCTGAGTATTCTCTTTCAGCTTGTAAACAATGGCCCATCTTGGGATTTGTGTGGGCAAAACCAAAATGCATACTTCCCACATAAAACCCACACTGGACCTTCAGGGTATAAAGGAATCAAAAGATCACTCTTTCACCTGCTAAGCAATGTCAGTCATATTGAGGCGTGCTGGTTGTCCACCAATTGGATCAGTGAGGAGGAGACCTTTACTGCCCCTCTAGCACTGGTACCAGAGTGTGTTTCTATAACTTAATGAACACATGAGACTCGGACTGACATAATGAGATGCTGACCTTTTCTTTAGTACTTCTCTTATCTAGTACTGGTTTAGTAGCACAACAAATGGAAAGAGAAACTGCAACTGTACACTCACCCAGAAGGGCAGAATGCAGCCATGGTAATGTTACAACACTACAGTGGAAAACAGGCTATAGAGTCACTAAAAAATGAAGTGCACTAGAAAGGTAAAAAAAAAAAGGGTAAGTGCATGGGTCTGCTTGCATTGCAAGCACCAATATGAGATATATCTTCAAACAGAATACAGGGAGTGTGTTTACTAGCTTCTTTTACAGCTGTGTTTGCACTCTACCTTTTATCTCAATCATTACAGATTCATCACCACAGCACTGACCAATGATACGATCAGCAATGACTACAATCAAGAATGTTTTTTTGTATTTGACTAACGATGTATTTTGCATCTTGCTGACTTTAGTAATTAATATTCTTTCCTGAAAGTAAATTTGATAAAAATTTGAACAGATAATCAACAATGCATGTGTCTTTTTACAAAGGCATGTTGTGTCTGCATTTTACCTTATTTGGCATATGGCTTGCTAATATGACAGTCATCTCATTTTATGTAAAGTTTACATTATGTGTTTTGCTATCTCTGCCTTTTTGGAGTGCTTGACATTTTCAGAAAGCTTTAAGGGCAGCTAATGCATGGTCATTTTTGACAAGAAGTGGTTTCCTATAGGGTTCTGTGAAGAGGAAGTTCTTCACCATACCACAAACTGTGCTGGTCCCAACAGACCAATGACAGACAGTTTGTTTCTCTCCGCCTCATTTCTGCACTGTAGCATAAAAGGGAGATTTGTTTATTATACATAGTGCAGATTCTAATCATCTGATAAGAGAAAAGTTACTTGCGGTTGATTCCTGATTTTTCAGCTTTTGTCCATTTTCAGGGTCAAAGCATCTACAGGCAGACACCATGTCAAGAATAAAGGAGATTGTGGCCATTGCTCTGGCTCTGATAGGATGGATCATTGCTGTTGTTGCCTGTGTTCTGCCTATGTGGAAGGTCTCAGCTGTGACTGAAGCTGGTACTGGCAGAGCCCAAATCATCTGGGAGGGCCTCTGGATGAGCTGTGTTACGAAGAGCACTGGACAAAGGCAGTGTACGGCCTACGACTCCATGGAGGCTCTACCTTCAGACCTGCAGACAGCCCGAGACATGACTGTTATTGCCATCATCACGGCTTTGCTGCCTTTGACGCTCTCCTTTATGGGTGCAAAGTGCACCAACTGCATTAAGGACAAAGCATTAAAGGCAAAACTTATGATGGTCTCTGGGGTCTACTTCATTATTTCTGGTTGCCTAGTGCTCATCTCTGTGTCCTGGACAAGAAACACCACAATCCGGGATCCCCGCATGTCCTCAACTCCACACACAGATCCTGAAGTGTCACTTAGCATGGGCTTTGCTGCTTCTGCTCTGCTCATCACTGGAGGAGTCATGCTATGCTGCACCTACATTTCATGGAGGAGAAGGTAAAACCCCTGAAAATGGGCCCATCTGCTCAACCTTTTCATAATAGCAAGCTAAGCTTTAAGCTCTCTTTCAATAACCTCCACCTCAATTTATGAATCAAGAGTAAAGGGATCACCATGGATCACAATACTTTGATACACACTACTTATATTAATGCTGAAGAAGAAGTAATCTCAGATAATCTTTACAAGATAATGTATATAATTTAAGTTTAATTTATTTCTTTATGAAAAAGATCTGTAGCATATTACAGGGATTTATAGAGGATTCGTATAAGTACTTCATAGCGTATTAGGACAATTGTTTTTTTCTATTTGCTTATAGGTAGGTCTATACGGGTCATTTATGTGTGTTGTCCCTCGCATATTATGACACGTCATTTGATGTAAATTATTCAAGAGAATGTTTTACATCACTGTACTGAAATGTACATAATGCTCAAAATTCTCAAACTCAAAATGCCTTTCAAAGTTCTCCACTCTGAACAATTTTTTTTGTATTCTGTCAGGGAAACTTTACAGAGTGTTCAAAATCTCTGAAAAATAATATGGTCACTGCTTGTTGCTTATTATTTCTGCACTGGATTGAACAAATGAGCTTACTTAGGTTGCCTTTTGCATTTTCAGAGCCAGAACATCCAAAAGCAGACACCACTCAAAAGGAATGAAGATTGTGGGCATTGTCCTGTGTATGATAGGATGGATCTTAGCTGTTGTCACCTGTGTTCTGCCTATGTGGAGAGTCACAGCTTTTATTGGAGCTAACATATTCACAGCCCCGTTCATCTGGGAAGGCCTCTGGATGAGCTGTGTTGTACAGAGCTCTGGACTGATGCAGTGTAAGGTCTACGACTCCATACTGGCTCTGTCTTCAGACCTGCAGGCAGCCCGAGCCATGACTGTCATGTCCATCATCACAGCTCTGCTGGCTTTGGCACTGTCCATTATGAGCCTAAAGTGCACCACCTGCATAAAGGGCAAGGCATCAAAGATGGGAGTCATAATAATCTCTGGGGTCTTCTTCATTATTGCTGGTATCCTGATGCTCATCCCTGTGTCCTGGTCAACCAACACCATCATCCAGGACTTCTACAATCCCATGATAGCCCCATCATCGCAGCGCAGAGAACTTGGAGCAGCACTCTACATTGGCGTTACAGCTGCTGCTCTCCTCATTCTTGGGGGAGGCCTGCTATGCTGCCACTGCATCACACAGAAGAAGAAGTAAAAGCCCATAAAAAATGGGCTGCTCTGCTCAACACTTTACTAAATGATATGACAGAAAGGCCACTGTTTCAAATGCTTAAAGTAGCTTTTTACATTTTAGCATATTTAACATTTTTATGTTTATATATATATATATATATATATATATAATATATATATATATATATATATATATATATATATATATATATATAAACATAAAAATGTTAAATATGCTAAAAAAATATAATACAGGTATGTTTTCACACAGAACATTTATTAACAGCCCCTCCTTTTTTCTTAATAATCACCATATTAGTTGTTGTTGGAGCATATTGCTAAAAAATTTGCCAACACATAAGAATTTTAGTGACACAATGGAAAGAAGAAAATGCCATTGTAATAAGGAACAAATTTAATTTCTGAGTCATATTCTGAATATGTATGATATTTGTATATATGTTCTTGTGTTTAAATATTGACATACCTCATTAGATTGCAATATGATAAATGTAGCTCTATGTGTTCTATGTGGTCTTTTTTAACCTAGTTTTATGCTTGAATTACTGTATGTAAGCAGATAAACAGATAAATAGAAATTGTGCAATAAAATTTGCTGAAAAATGCCATTGTTAAATGTTTTCCCTGTAGAGGATGTATTAACTTATTTTCAGTCAGAAAATCATTATTTTCACTTTTTGGACAGGGACAATGTATATTTTAATAAACAAAAATTTATATATATATATATATATAATATATATATATATATATATATATAATTTTAATTTAATATTGTATAAATAAATAAACACAGAATAAATATGCTGTCTGTATGATTATGCAGCCAAATCATATAGTTTAATAAAATAGAAAATGTGAAACAGTTCAATATTATGTGTGGAATATTTGAGGACAAGATAACATATTTCAGAATACAACTGCTACCAACAAACTCTACTCAGTCTGTTAGGAAGCAAACACACAAACACACACACACACACACACACACACACACGCACGCACACACACACACACACACAAAATGACATTTCTAAAATATCATGATATTTGTCAATTTTATGTTTTATTAAGACTTCATAACATATAAATAAATGTTTAAACCACAGGGCAATGAGTAACCGTCACTTGTTCAGGAGGAGGGGTTTAAACCTGGTGGGGGCACAGTTTGTCCAGTTCGTTTCCGTTTGTCCCAGTCTCCAGTACTGACCCTTTGGGGAGGCCTGGATGTCAAGGTACTTCCCATCTGTATGCCAAACTTTGTTCCTTTGTTCCTCCTAATTGAGGAACAGACCCATTTTTGATCTGCTCATCATCAGCTAAGTAGCCATTGAAACTAAGGTAAAGTTGTTTTTACTTCAAGTTTGACCTCTTGAGTACACTGCAAAGGCTGTTGATCTTGGATTCAGCCATCTGTGTTACTGTCGTTTATCAGAAGATAGAATAACTTCCAACAGAAAAAAAAAAACAAACAGAAATGTGAAAAGTTAGCTAATGTCATCTGTGTCATTGACTGAGGTCTGCATAATCAACTCTACACTACACAGTTTTTAACCAAGTTTTTAAATAACACCCTCACTCTTCATGCCAGCAGATGGCAGTGTAGACAAATCACTTCCACCAGAGATTCACTCTGGCCTGTAGGTTTTACCTTCAGTATGCCCACTTTAATTTCATTTACAGTTCTTCTCGATTGCTAAAGGACATTTAAAAGTGCCATAGAAAGGAAAACTGTGTTTACATTAGCATTTTTGAATAATAACAGTTCGAAACATGGAACTGACATACCATGAACCTCAAACACTGTTGTCTCTCCTTCAAATGCAAACCCTGCATTTGCAAAAGAGGGCAGTAAAACAGGCCAAATCCAAAATCCTGAACTTTTACACAATAGCAACGGAAAAGTTGCAAAACAAACTGGTGAATAGGGATCCAACTTCAGCTCCCACAGCTTCAACAAGATCCTGGACAACTTTAGTTCAGCATTGTTAGTTTGCTCTTATTTCAATCCGGACAGTTTCTCAAACCTTGCACAATATCGAGCAGAGACTGAAGGGGGGTACAGTTCCAACTTTATTAGCATCATAACCCCAACAGCAGCCTGCAGAAGCCATGCCATGCTTTTTGAGGTTGAAGCCAGATCATCTTAAACTAAGTTTCAAAGTGAGTAACAGCTTCATAATTTACTTCATGTTGTTTTTGAGATCGAAAGCAAGTAACTAGCATAGCTAAGTAAATAGTATGACGTCCTAGCTTATTTACACAGAGGTTTATTTTGTCTTCCTTCCTGCTGCTGTGTGAGCCATCACAGTGCCTCATTGCAAACCAGCCAATCAGAGCAGAGCTCATCTAAATATTCATGAGACCACCAAAAAAGAGAAAACATTTTTTTTTCATTCTAGGGCCGAATCACTGGGCTGTAAATGGGCCTGCATTTTACACCCCAACCAAAGTAATGTACCGTCTATGCAGATATCAGAGAACAATTTAAAATGTTTCTATATGGTTCCATGTACAACCTTTTTGAGTGCCATATAGGTTCTGCTATCATTTTGTAACAACAGAAAAAGAAGTTTTGATGCTATATAGAACTAAATACAACACAATGTTCATCAATCTGAAGAACGATTTGACCATACAAACAACTTTATAAGCATGCAAATTGATTAATGAGTGTTCATGGTTCTGTATGGAGCCATTGTTTTTACTAAAGACCCCTTAAAGAACCATTTTTTTTAAAGAGTGTATGTATTCACCCTCACCAGGAAGTTGTGAGTTTGAACCCCATAACTGTACTTTTAAGTTGAGCTGACTTATATTTTAAGAGTTTACAGTATATACAGCATAATGATACATATTACTGTTTTTTTTTTTTTATTTCATTAAGGGGGGCTGGAGATTTAAAGAAGGCAAATCAGCACAGGATGTTTAAGTGTCAGGTGTAGAAGAGCTTGGCCAATCCCTCTGAAACACAGGTGAGTTGTCTGGAGAGGCCACGGTGGTGGAATGGTGGGAGAAACATGCTCTTATCCACTGAATCTGTCTCTGGACCTCTAAAAGAAAAAAAAATCATACGTCAGTATTTCAGTGTTAGCACCAGAAACTCTGGATCTGCTTTGTTGTCTGAGCTGATTCTATTACTGTATTTTTAAATGAATTCTTTGTGGAGATCAGGCTGAGTTAGTGATTCTGATACAAGTCTCATCACCTCTCACGCTGTTCTGAAGCTTCTAAACGCGTTCATGAACCTGTCCATCCAACCACGGACAGCTTTTCTGAGGCCTTTCTTCTTCGTCTCTTTCAGTTTTTCCTCTTCCTTTCTCAGTTCTTCAGTTTTTTCTGCATCTCATTCAGTCTCTTCTCCATCTCTTTTTGCCTTCTTTTGTGTTGTTTTCATTACTTCTCTCTCTCTTCCACTCCTGCTCTCTGTCTACAAACTCCATGTTCATCTTTCTCTGTCTTTCTAGGAACTTTTGTTCAATCTCCTTCTGTTTTTCCCAAACGCTCTCTTTCTCTCTCTTTTTCTGCCTCTTTTCTCCATGTTGCAGGTCTCTTTCACTCTTCTCTCTCTCAGCTTCTATCTCTCTCAGTCTTCAGCTGGTCTTGCAGTCTTGCTCTTTCTAGCAAAAGCTTATTCTCTCTCCTAGAGCTCAGTGTTTCAGTCTGGAATTCAAATGGAAATTACTTTAATCATGTTAACTGATAACTTCAGTCAGTTCATCATTAAGTGTGCAGTAGCTCAATATCTGACCACCACTGTGGCCTGACCAGTTTTGCTTATAGAGGGGAGAGGTACAAATAATATAAAGTACACTGTTAGAAATAAAGGTTCTGTGCAGGTACATTTTTCATTCACCAAGGTACAAACAATGTAAATGTATCCTCAAAGGTACAACAGTGGTTTTAAAGTTCAATCGTGTACCGTAAGTATGTTTTTCCCAGTGGAAAAATACCAGTGACATTTTTTCTGAGAGTGAATAAACAAAATTCTAAAAATGTGGTCCATTGTTTAATCAAATGGTCAAATCACTGGTCAACTGGTGGGAATTTTGATTATTGTACATAAACAGCAAAGTATATATACTAACTGGGCATTTTGTAAGACACACCTGTATTGTTGGAACACCTCTAGAGACTATAGCTCTACTTCTATGCACATTTGTTTTAGTCATATGTTCTCTTTAATAGTGGCCAGTTTCTGACCGCAGGACCACTGTTAGCTGGATATTTTTGATTGACGGACTATCCTCAACCTAACAGTGACATTGAGGAGCACAACACACTAGAATGACACTACCATGTTGGTGTCAGTACTGTGAGAATGGTTCCCCCACCCAAATGACACCTGGTCAGCGGTGGTCTTATGGTAGCCCATAGGATGGACAGAGTAGAAAGTGGCCAATACACTGAACACTAAAGAGCATATGTACCTGATAAAAGGACCAATGTGTGCAGGTACAGCATTGGTGTAGTAAATGTACAAAATCTGTACTCACCTTCCAGCTCTCCGTCTCCTCGAATGTATCATCATCTCCTCCACACTGTGGTTTTGCTCTTCTCACTCTTTCCCTGGTGAACTGTCGCTCCGCCCTCTTCTTCTGTTTTTGGGTTCTAAGCTGGGCTTCCAGTTCACTCTTCTGTTCTTCTTCTGCCCAATGTTCCTCACTATGTCTCTAGTGAGGTAGAACAGAGGGGTTCTGGCCTTTTTTGGACGCAACCTCACTTTGGCATGAAGATTGTGGCTCTCGAAGCGTAGGAGCTTCTCTCTCATCATCTCTGCATCCAGCCTCTTCATTATATCCTCATCCCTCACTTCCTCCCGCCGCTCCGTCTTCTCAGCCCTGGAGGTCTTCATGAGGGTCTTCCTGTGCTTGTGGCGGAGATATTGAAGCTCCGCCCTCTCCTCCTCGGTCAAAGCCCACACTGACTGTACATCTTCATTTCTGCCAGTGTGCTCTCTCTCAGAGTCTCCATAGATCTGGCTCTCCTCTCCTTCATATCTCTCTCTGTGCAGCTCAGGTGAAGACACTGTTTTGGGAGATAAAGAGGAAACCTTTGATGTTTAAACAAGTCTATGGTCAGTTTTCTGGACAGGAATTAAGCCTAATCCTGGACTACACAGCATTATGAAAGGAGATTCTCTGTTGAACTGAAAATGTAGTCCTGGACTAATATTTATGTGACTGAGAAACCAAACCACAGTGTTTTCACAATAAAAATGTTGTGAAAGATTGAGAGACATAGAAAGAGACACAGAGAGAGGGACAGGGGAAAGAGAGACACATAGACAGACAGAGACTTAGAGTGAGATAGACAGACAGAAACTGAGAGAGAGAGAGAAAGAGAGACAGAGTGTGAGAGACTATAGATTATATAGATTAAAAAGAATGAATATCATTGTAATAAAAAACAGCTGTAGTAAGATTACACTGTCAAGTCAGTTGAATGATGTGAATAAACAGATGAATCAGCCTGTTTACACATCTGTAAATCCTCACATTAGTCTTACCAATGATTATATTCACAGAAAATATCAGTTTTTAATGTCCAGTGAAGTTAAACATATTTTAACTGCGCCGTCAGTTCAAAACCGAATATGTTAGCATCATTGATACCATCAGTCTATATGACGTCGCCTGTCACGTTCGAATCCCGAGGTTCAAAATTTCAAATTATTCTGCTGGAGCGGCTCGAATGATCCAGTATGAGCGTCACTGAGTCTCTCAGCACGATTTAAATACAGATATTATATTATTATACAAATATTATTCATTACACAACTGTTATATAGTATTTTAATATTAAAAACAGGATTAAAAAATATAAACAGCTGACCTTCTGAACAGATGATTTGCAGCAGTGGTGAAGTAAATCAGGATTGGAATCTCCGATATATAGTTCCCGCCAGTAGTGAAGGGGCGGGGTCTAAATGATGACGCCATAATAAAGGCAGTTTGTGCTGGCTTTCACGTCTGTTTAAAAATATATGACAGAAAACATCATTCCTACATGGATGGAATATATCACTGTGTTATTGTATATGTTAGCTTCATGTTATAAATTATTTTTGTATTTCATTCTGATTTGTTTGATTTAAAAAATATTTCGGTGTATCAGACATTTATCACACATACAGTATATATATATGATCCACATTTTATGCATGTATGTGTTTCACCCACCCGTCCAATATTTGAGACTTACATATAGCTACACTACATATATGTTTAAAATTAATAACCTTTTATGATATAAGTGCATATATGGTCATATATCAGATTTATCAGAAAAGTAAGAGCGTTATTTAAGAGCTTGGTTAAGCGCTGTTCATGCAGTGTTGATTATTCTGAAAGCTGTTCTGTTGATACAGTCCTCACTCGATCACACTGATCACATTAGCTACTGACCTCTCTGTGTCTGAGGTGGTTGTGCTTGTTTCTTTCTCAGGAGGAGCTGAGAGACTGTAGGTTCTAACACTGCAACTCAAGTACCGAAAAATGACGCTGCTGGAGGGTCATTCAATAAAAGTGAAGGTAACACTTTAGATTAAGACTTCCAAGTTCATTGATAGTTATATGTTGATAAGCAAAGAAATACTCATTAGTTATGTAATATTAACTGTTCATTAAGCATTAGTTATTACTTAGTTACCTGATCAAGTACTTAGTAATTAAAATGGACTACACCGTTAACCAGCGGTTTTGTTATGAGTTCATATTAATCCTTAATTTATTATCTAATTAACTGTGTATTAACTTCTGTTTATTACACTGCTAACAAACTGATCAGTGTGTTTACTCACATGAAAAGTAACATAAGAACTAGCTAATGTTTAGTGATCTTGTTAATAATCTATTCATTACTCTCCTGATTTATTGTTATTAATTAATACTATGTGTCCATCCCTGTAAAGTAATCATTTTTACATATTACAAACTCATTTAGACTTATGATTAATACTTGACTAGTTACAGATATCTCTTTTTTGTGTATTCTCAAATAAATCAGACAATATACATACATTATCAAGTAACATTTATTCTAAATACATATGTCTTTGAATAAGCAGCCTGTGTTTCAGGCCTAACCAATATGTCCAATTAATAAAGATGAGATGCTAAGTATCACAACAGTTATCTCTCAAATGCCATATTTTGCTGTTATTTATCCTTCTTTGCATATTTTGGGATGCTTTCCAATCAGAGGGTCAACAAAGCTACTGCTGTGACTCACAGTGAAGTATGTATAGGGTGCTATTAACCATAAACTCATAGTATGATTATTATGTTAGTGGTGAACATTATCGCTTTATTTAATAGGACACATAAAGTAGTAATTAATCATTAAATAATATTAAGTAAGGAGTAATTAATGGTGTAGAGTATATTATTTTCATATCTGAAACCAGAAAAGATTGATACAGTCTAATTCTAATCCTGACCAGCTTTGCTGTTGTCATTGTCTGTTTTCCCTTCTTGTTTCCCTTCCTTCGTGTCCCTGGCCATATGCTATTGCTTGTTTTGGTTTTTCTGCTCCACCCTAGCTAGCTTTGCCCTTTTGCCACACCCCTCACATGTGTCTTGTGTGTAACTTCACCCTGTACTTGTTCCCAGGTATTCTGTTCACAGGAAAAGGAAATGATTTATCTTGAGGATCTGCTTTCAACTATTCATGCAGGAAGTCTTTTGCTTCCCTGACTTATGGCAGTCCCATGTGTGTATGATAAGGAAAATGGCAGCTGTGAAGGATTTACAATGCAGAGCAGACTTTGTTTCAGCATTCAGCATGGTTTATCCCACCAGCTGTAACCAAAGTACTGTCTCAGACTTTTCAGAGGGGAGGGGCATTACAGTGGGCAAATTTGATCATGGAAAAGGGGTCAAAACAACTCAGGATGGTAGAAGGATTTTTTAAACCTGTTACTTAAATTTACCAGAGCACCACACACCTTTGCTCCTAGCTTCTCCTGAGGCCTCTGCCCTGCCTACAGCTTCTCCTGATGCCTGCCCCCGAGGATGTCAGTGCAGGGCCACTGGCTTCTGAGGATGTTGATTCCGGGCCACCAGGGCCTGGACCTGCCTGTCTTTGCCATTAAACCAGTTAGTGGAGGGAACCACAATGCTAGTGCTCAACTTCACAGGACCATATAGTGCGTGGAGGGCATCACAGAACCACATTACAGCCCAGTGTCCTGGAGGACACAGTTGAGTAGGTGCTCAGCTCGCCAACGCCCCTCCTGCTTCCTGCTTGGCCAGCCACCCAGTTTCACATATCTCTACCTTGAGCAGGTGTTGTGCTGTCTCTACAGTCTTTAGCTCCAGATCCAGCTCACTCAGTAAGTTTGCTGTCAGTAGTATGAAAGGCTTATTTAGCCGTCATGTAGCCTTACGAATAGTGTTACTAAGTATTCACACAGTTCCAAATGCTTTTTCTTTAGTACTTCTCAAATCCAGCCCTGCTTTAGCAGCACACCAAATGGAAAGAGAAACTGTAGCCATTAACATGAGTCTTTTACTTTACATAATTTGTTAATATACCATTTACCTTATTTTGTGTATATTTTACATTTTGAGGCACACTTTACGTCTGCTCATTTGGGGCGCTTAGCATGTTTGCAAAAAAGCTTGAAGACCAACTAATGGGCATTTTCACACGCTTTGGTTTCCTATAGGGTTCTCTAAAGAGGAAGTTCTTAGCGTACCACATCCCCTGTGCTTTTAAATTAGTAGCGTTTTAGCTTTACCTGTGCTGGTCCTAGCACACCAATGATAGACTGCTTGTTTCTCTCCGCCTCATTTCTGCACAGGAGTATAAACGGGCTGTGGTATGACCGCATCATACAGAGTGCAGATTGCAATCATCTGATAAAAAGAAGAAAAATCTCACTTGCAGCTGATTACTGATTTCTCTGGGGTTTTTATCCTCAGGGTCAAAGCATCCACAAGACACCATGTCAAGGGGAAAGGAGATTGTGTCCATTGCCCTGGTTCTGATAGGATGGATCACTGCTGTTGTTGCCTGTGTTCTGCCTATGTGGAAGGTCTCAGCTGTGACTGAAGCTGGTACTGGCAGAGCCCAAACCATCTGGGAAGGCCTCTGGATGAGCTGTGTTACGAAGAGCGCTGAGAAGATGCAATGTACGGCCTACAATTCCACACAGGCCATAACTTCAGACCTGCAGGCAGCCCGAGACATGACTGCCATCGCCATCATCACAGCTCTGCTGCCTTTGACACTCTCCTTTATGGGTGCAAAGTGCACCAACTGCATTAAGGACAAAGCATTACAGGCAAAAGTTATGATTATCTCTGGGGTCTTTTTCATTATTGCTGGTTGCCTGGTGATCATCCCTGCGTCCTGGATAAAGAACAGCATCGTCCAGGAAAAAACGCCTAGAGTATCACTCTACTGTAGCTTTGCAGCTTCTGCCCTGCTCATCACTGGAGGAGTCCTGCTTTGCTGCACATGCCCCCCATGGAACCTGAGGTAATATACAGCAGGAAGCACTATGTCTGTCACAGTTAAAAAAAAGAAGGTATTATGACCTTGTTTTTTATTAGGTGAAGATGTTGCTGAGAGGGCTCTGTAAAGCTTTGCTTATTTGCTTTGTGCTGTATTTGCTAAGGATTTTAGAGTTGTGTTTAAGGGTATATAATGTGCTGAGGATACTCTTGTCACCAGTGCAGTCATATAGAGAGCACAGTGGAAGCTTCCTTAAGATGAATATACGCTGCTGAGACGTCCTGATTCCTTCACGAATTTCTTCAGTAACAGGCCTCCTCATATTGATTTTATCTCTTAGACCTTTTATGTACAAGTTGAAGAAAGTGTTTTGCCCTCTCTGTAGGTTTGGGGCCCCTAGATAACTTTTTTTAAGCTTGAAGAAACTACCAGCCCATGTGTGCACATGTTTACAAACAGTGGTTTCCTCTGAGGTTCCACATTTACAGAGAAAGAAAAAAACACGCCCAGACGTCGGTGGAAGAATCTAATCTCAGATTAATTTAAAATACTGTGAAACTTCAGTGAAACAATGACTTGAGTAGAAATAAAATGGCATAGTATTTTGAAACTTTGAAATTAATAAATCATGATTAGATTATGTCTGTTTAACTGTATGAGTAGCTGATGTTTGGTAGAGATAGTGTTTCATAACATTTTAAAGCATGCTTTTTTAATAATCAGTGAGGACTGAGAAACGAGATAGTTAAAATAAATAAAAATAATGTAAAACTGTAAGCTGGTTTAGTGTATGCTGGTTTATGCATAAGTATTTTCAGCTGAAAAATTTTGACTAAAAATAATTTAAAAATTTAGAAAATAAAATAACAGGGCAACTGGAGAAAAATCACTTTCTGGAAAATAAATATTATTTTATAGAAGAATGGAGGGATACGAAATGAACAAATACAAGAAAAATGACATAAAAATTCTGGATTAAAAACGAAGCACTGGGCAGGGGACACCTAAAGATGAAATTCATAGTTGGTGTAATGCACATATTTGGCAATTAGTTTATTTATAATATGATATAGGTCACTTTTCTGAAATATGGACACTATGGACACCAAGTCTTGAGCCTAGTTATGGCCTTGCACAGCACAATATACATAACTGCAACTAGCTCCTGCGTATTTGCACACATATGCACACATCTGCATTTTACATACACATGTAGTTGTGTCTTATTATATCTCTATATTTTTATATTTTATATTCTTCTTCCCTTTTTTATATTCATCTATAAATTCTTATCTAAATATTTTCTTGGATTTTCAGGGACAGAGCATCCTCAAGCAGTCACCTTTCAAAAATATTGAAGATTGGTGGCTTTGCATTGGGTCTGATAGGATGGATCTTAGCTATTGTCACTTGTGCTCTGCCTATGTGGGTAGTTACATCTCACACCTACTTTGAGGGCCTCTGGATGAGCTGTGTCATGCAGACTGGACAGTTGAAGTGTAAGGGTTACGACTCCACGCTTTTTCAATCTTCAGGCCTTCAGAGTACTCGTAACATGACAATCACCTCTATCGCCTTGGTTCTGCAGGCTTTAATAAACTTCATTAGGAACACAAGGGGTATATTCATGTTGCATTGTGCATTAAAGTCAAGGCATCAAAGGCAAACGTCATTATCGTCTCTGGGGTCTTCTTCATTATTGCTGGTATTGTGCTGGTCATTCCTGTGTCCTTGACAAGCTACAACATCATCCAGGGCTCCTACAATCCCTCAGAGAACACGGCTGAGCGCAGTGAACTTGGAGCAGCACTCTACACTGGCTTTGCAGCTGCTGCTCTGCTCATCATTGGAGGAGTCCTGCAATGCTGCACCTGCCTCACACGGGAGAGAAAGTAAATATCCTCAAAAATGGGCTGCTCCATGCTCCATCAGCGGCTTATAGCTAGAAGGTCTATCTTTGAAATGCTTAAAAAGAAAAATGAAAATGTTTCTGAGAGGGCTAGCTCTCTGTAAAGCTCAGTATTTGCTTAGTGCTATATTTGCTGTTTGCTTCTGGAGTTGCTTTAAGGGTGTATCTGTTAAGAACGGTTGCAGTGTGAAAGTGGTATAAAGCTACAGTATAAAAGCTGTCATCTTTCTAAAAAAGTGTGATTTAAAATAATTTCCTTGCATAAATTACACTGAATTATTTTTATTGTTCCATTTATATGCATGTCTTTCTTTAAGTGTGTTATTGAAATCATTTCTTGTGTATGGATGAATATTTTGTGCTGCACTATAATTAATAAATCGCTAAACAGTACATAGAGAAAAGTGAAACAAGAATATGTTAAAATATGTGCTTTTCATTGAGTCACATCAATTTGTTAATATGATTTCTAATAAACTGCTTGACTCCTTAAGTTGGTGTGGCTTCACTGAATGCAAGCAACTTGAAGCATGTATCATTAGAGGTGTAATCTGTGAAATACAGATACATGTGAAACTTCAATACTAAAACCCAGTTATGAAAAGTCAAATTTAACACTTTGTCAAGCTGAGCAAGAGGTAGTCGATCAGCTAACACGTTTGATGTCTCAAATTGGCTTCTTTAATTTTTCATGGAGCTACAAGGCAAATGTATTAGAAATCCTGGTCACTCAAAAAAACTTTGACAGTCTTCCTTTACTTTTGAGTTCCATTAGCCTCATAGCCCTGGTGTAAATCTGGAAAAGTAACTCTTGACTGTTTGACTGCATTTGAGCTGGGATTTGCCAAATAATTCCTTTAAAGTGTTTTTTTTTTTTTTAAAGTGAGTCATGCAAGCACTGCTAAGAACACTTCTACCATGAAGAATTATTTTGCCAGACTGAAGTTTCAGGCCAGAAAAAAGGGTCAAAGCCCTTTAAAAAAAAAAACATCAGTGAGAACACTCATTTGTACATGGCTGTGTGGTCCCTGGAAAGCTAATGTTAATGTTAGCTATTAACCTCTGCTGGAAAAAAAAACAGCATAGCTGGTTACCAGCAAAACAAGCATACATTGTGTTTTGGATGCTGGTATGCCAGTCAACCAGAACGACCATGCTGGGTGACCATATAAACTAGCATCGTACACCACCATTTTTTTTAAATATCTTACTAGCTTTGTAGATCATATTTGGCCTGCAATGAATGTTAATGGAAAATTAAGTGAAAATACTAAATAGTGTCATACTAAATGAAAATGTTAATGTAATTACAGAAGGGACATGAACTGTCTTAATGTTCAGTTACATTACTTTGCCCTATCTTGGCCAATCTCATTAAACATGGTGCTTGTAGAAAGAATCATGTAGGTACTGGATGCTAAGATAATTTACTGAACATTCTCAGCTGGCATGGCTCACACATGGACTATTCTCAACATCACTTACTCTGGCCCTTAACACCTTGTTGTAGAACACAGATTCAAACTACAAGACCACCTTGTGTTGAAATCTAGCAAGGACACAACATAATCCCTTAAAAACTCACTTAAAAGAATAAATTCTGTTACAGCCTGATATATGAAACATGGGCAGCTACATACTTCAAGAATAATAACAAATCACCATACAACCACAAGAGGATAAGCACCAGAGGATGCTAAAGAAAAGCAAGTTAAATAACAACACAGGGAGGGTTCATTTTCTTTTCAGTGCAGTCCCATCAGTTTGGTGGATGTCTTACATGAGCAGGTGACACAGGTTGAGAAGCTGTTGAAACCCTGCTTGCAACTTGTGGTGTAATAAACCACCCAGTTCATATGTTTGTGGTATTGGCCGGTGCACCAGCAGAAACAGGTGCAAAGTGAGACGAATGCCATTTCTTTCCAACAGCTGAGAGATGCGTACAGGGACCCACCTTCTGTCTGATTTCAACTGGCTGAGTAAATTGAGGGTGAGTTTCTTTCCAAGGTTTGGACTGGAGGATGGCAGACTGAGTTGTGCCTTTAAGCACACTATGGAATCACTTAATGGCTTCATTAGCCGCAGGGTGATATATCGATATACGAATGTGGACAATGTTTCTGGACTTCAAGGATGTGGTAAACTTAGGTTACGTGAACTGGGGAACTTTATCAGTAATGAGTCTCACCAGTTTACCACACGTGCTGAAGATGGAGCTGAGGAATGAAATCGCTTGATGCATCGTAACTGAAGATGCAAACGTGACCTTTTGCCATTTACTGTAACAGTCTGTCAGGGTCAGTGTGTATCGACAGTGCCATGTAGCAGACTCAAACAGACCTACAATGTCCATTGCCAGCTTTTTCCATGCTCCAGAAGGCAGGGGAACAGGTTAAAAGAGAGGGACGACTGAGGCCTTGGCACTCTTATCAGATGCCTGGCACAGCTGGCAGGTACCAGCCTTTTCTTTGACAAGAGCATCCATGTCAGGGCCCCGGTACAAATCACATAAGTGTTGTTTCGTTCCTACAATGCATTGGTGACTTTCATGACCTCTCATGCATTTCTTTAGGGACCACCAGACAGGAACCTCTGAAGACAAAGACCTTCTGCACACTAAGCTCATGTCATAGATTGCAATAACAGTACAGGGCTGGGTCTAGAGCACGAGAGGAGGGAGGCCAACCACGCACAACCTGTGCACACAGTGCAGGAAGCTCAGGGCAGCTGACAGAAGCAGTAGCAAACTCATTGCAAGGTACGGTGGTTAGCACAGTGGACAGCAGGGCAGCGGACCTGGGTTCTTTATCAGAGGTAGTAGGCAATAACAATCATGACCAATAATCAGCTGTGCAATTCTGTGATCCAGATTGTAGTATGTAATCAAAGCAAAGCAAATGAGTGGCCCATCGAGCTATTTGCATGCCAGCTTAATCCGTCCCTTTTGTGGTCAGCAGTTTAGTTAAGGCCTAGTAGTCTGTATGGAGAGTAAACCTGTGGCCCCATAACTTCTGCATTTTTCAACTGCCCAAACGCAACCCAGAACCTCCTTTCCACAATGAAATATTTGTGTTCCATTGGAGTGTTTTGGATGTGAAGGTGACAGTACGCTCAGTGCCATCAGAGTGGATTTGTGAAAACGCAGCAACCAGTCCATAATCTGACACGTCTGTAGAAATTACATTAGGCACGTCTGGATCAAAAAGTGAAATGGCGGGGCTGTTTATCAGCAACTGTTTAGTGAAGCTTTCCTGAGCCTCTTCAGACCAAGCCCATCCAGTCTCTACTTGCAGGCATGCATGTAACAGCTCAACCACTGTGGCAAACTTAGGAATGAATTTATGGTACCATGAAAGGAGCCCCAGAAAAGAATGCAACTGAACAGCATCAGCATGAATTCTGTGTGCTGTTACTATGTGGCCAAGAAAGCGCAGACTGTGTTGCCTGAAATTGCACTTGGATTTGTTTAACTGCAGACCAGCATCTTTGAGAGACTGAAGTACAGCCTCCAGTGCTTGATTATGTTCTTCCAATGAACCCCAGACAATGATGTCATCAAAATAGTTAGCCACATTTGGAGGACCCTGTAGACCCTGACAACCACGGTTTTCTGGAAAGCAGAAGAAGCAGAAGCCAATCCATATGGTACCCTGCAGAACCTAAACAGTCCATTGGGTATAGTAAAGACTGTTAGGTTTTTTTCTTGCAAAAGTACCAGGTGATATGTATTTTATGCTGCAAAAGATTGCAGCATGTGTGGCAGAGAGTAGGTGTCCATTATGACTGCTTTATTTGGCTAATGCAGATGAACACATGTATGAATCCCTTCTGACTTCTTTTGAACCACCACAATTGGACTGACGTACAAATCATTTGAACCATATTTTTAATTGAAAATAGTACAAAGACAACACATCAAATATTGAAATGAGAAATTTTATTGTTTTTTGAAAACTATATGCCCATTTCGAATTTTATGCCATCAACACATTTCAAAAAAGTTGTGACAGGGACAACAAAATATAGTAAAGTTGTATAATGCTAAAAAAACACCTGGTGGAACATCTCGCAACTAATTAGGTTAATTGGCAACAGGTAGGTACATAATTGGGTATAAAAAGGAGCATCCCAGAGAGGCTGTGAGTTGCAGAAGTGAAGATGGGGAGGGGATCACCACTCTGTGACAGACTATGTGGGCAAATAGTGCAACAATTCAAGAATAAAGTGTTGCAACTTACAATAGCAAAGAACTTGAGGATTTCATCTATGGTTAATAAAAGAATCAGAGAATCCAGAGAAATCTCTGTATGTGAAGGTTGCCAAAAACCAATATTTGATGGCTGTGATGTTCGGTCCCTCAGGCAGCACTGCATTAAAACAGATACAAATTCTGTAGTGGAAATCATTGCATGGGCTTCCGATAACCATTGTCTGTGAACATAGTTCATCGCTGCATCCAAAAATGCAAGTTAAAACTCTACCATGCAAAGAAGGAACCACATATATACACAGGATCCAGAAACACTGCCACCTTCTCTGGGCCCAAGTTCATTTAACATGGACTGAAGCAAAGTGGAAAAGTGTCTTGTGGCCCAATGAATCACAATTTTAAATTCTTTTTGGAAATAGTGGATGCCCCATTCTCTGGGCTAAAAAGGAGAGGGGCCATTTGGTTTGTTATCAGCACACAGTTCAAAAGCCAGCATCTGGTTTGAGGGTGCCTTAGTGCACGCAGCATGGGTGACTTGCACATCTGTGAATGCATAATTAATGCTAAATGATATATAGATATGGAGCAACATATGCTGCCACCCAGATGATGTCTTTTTCAGCAAAGACCTTGCTTACTTCAGCACGACAATGCAAAAGCACATTCTGCACATATTACAACAACATGGCTTTATAGTAAAAGAGTCCAGGTGCCAAACTTCTCCTGCTTGAAGTCCAGACCTGTCACATACTGAAAACATTCAGTGCATTATGAAAAGAAATATATGATAAATGAGACCCCCTCACCCACCCCCCCCCCACCCCCACCTCGAACTGTTGAAAATCTCCAATAACTAAATATTCTAAAAGTGGTGTCAGGTCTGGCCGGTCTATAATTTAAAAAGTGAGTAATAGTACAGTGTGCGCTTTATTTTGAAATGTTGCAAAATCCACAGTAGAGGACTTAAACTTTACAAACAAATAAATAAACAAACTATTTTTGAATCAGAATAAATATGTTGTGATTCTCTCTATGATTATGCAGCCACATCATACTGTTTAATGAAATACAAAATAGAAGTAAAACAGTACAGTATATTATGTATTATATAATTGAAGATACAGTATTTTAGAATATAAGTGGTACCAACTCCACTCTGTCTGTTAGGAAACAAACACACACACAATCACACACAAACTCATACACACGCACAATATCACATTTTGGAAATATCATGGCATATTTTGTAAAGCTTTAGTCATAAATACAAACAATAAACCTGTCATGTTATAACTCACAAAGCAAACAGTATCACATAATACTGAACCTGCATTACTGCCAATTCAGCTGTTTCACAACTAGTAATATTCAAAATATGTGGAAATTACAGCATTAAAAAACAAAACAAAACATATGCTCATTTTGATGTATCTTTCGCCTCTTTAACAATAAGTCTGATATTGTTTATGTGTCTCTCAAATTTGTTGTTCTTGTGTTTTTATTATGTGAGTGACTCTGACCGGTACTCTAAGACTTCACTCCTGTATTCTGACTGGTGGACGTGGGCACTGGGCAACTGTCACTCTTCCAGGAGGAGGGGTTAAAGCCGGCGGGGGCGGAGCGTGACCGAGGCGTGTCTGTTTGTCCCAGTCCCTGGTACTGACCCTTTGGGGAGGCGGGAACAGAGAGGGGATCAACACCTAGGCGTTCGTGAGATGACCCTGAGAGGAGGCCAGTGTGTTCCCCCTGAACAATGTCCGCTTCGGAACCAAAGAACAGTTTACGGGGACGTCCAAGCACTGTACGACCTGCAGCAAAAACACACATACTTTAAAAACTCTTTATACACACAATCAACAGATTTGAACTGCAACCAAGGTATAAAATACAGGGGGTCTTGAGGAGTACAGAATCCCTAATTAACCTCTTGGACCCCTTGAATGTCTCAAAATTAAAAATTCTGAGGGGGGTCGCTGAAAATAAACTACTATGTTCTCCTTTAGGGAAAATTAGACGCTTAAATACAAATTCAGGGAAAGGTCATTGTTTAGCTGCTTCAACCACAATCAGCGAGCTTCTGTCTTTGGTATTCTTAACTAACTAAAGATGCAGCACTGGTCTGCCTCAGGGTGGTGCTATAGTAAATGTGCTATAGCAAAAAAAGTTTCACCCATTTGGTTCTTTATATCCTAGCAACTATAACTACGCTTAGAATTCATCTGAAAAAACTTTATATGCCTCAGTATATTTGTGAATCTGAAAACTGGATTTGGTGGAAAGAGTGAATTATTACTCATTTCTCAAACCAAAGACTAAAGAGATGTGTAAGATCTCAATTAATGTGTGGAAAATTGCATCACAGAATTAGAAAAGAGCTTTTCCAAAAGAAGAATCATTAAACCAAACATTTTGCTGCCATTGAAGTACTGCTATGGCGAGGGAGTTAGCAGCCAGCTAATACTGGAGTAGCCAACCAACATGGGACCCGCAGAATACCAGGGGGTATTTTGCACACTGACTACAACCTGACATTATATGTCCTGAATTACATATTAAAATGCTTTTAAGGGCCTACCTTCTGCATTTTCCAAGTACAAAAAACAATTAATTTTAACCACACCATAAGCTCTATTACTTTTATGCCAAAAATGAAAGAGATTTTCATAAAACTAACTTGATACATTTTTGTTCTATGTAATTTTTTCCACTGTCACTGAATTCTCTGAATTATGAGATTGTTTAGGAGCCAAAATATGTTTTTCTATGGCTTTGGCAAGCTAGTACTGCAAACAAACTAGCAAGCATTGTCAAGTGTGGTTGTTAAGTTGCATTGGCAGTAGTAAAGTACATTAGGAGTACCTGGTGTTATCATATAATAGTGTTGAAGTTGCAGAGTAGACTTACTTTTTGTAACATTTTAGTTTGCAGGAGTGGTAGCTTGCTATTAGCAGGAATGTGCATATTTGACCTTGTAATTCAGAGGATCCAATGACACTCAGTGGAAAAATGTATGTAGGACAAAACATATTGAATTCCGAACCTTTTTGTGTAGTTAAGGGCATGGTAACAGTATTTTTTCCTCTTAGAGAAATCCAACTTAGACCCAGAGCTGTTAATATTGGCATGAAATCAATTACAGAATGATACACAACTTTCACCAGATGAATAACAATGTACAATGTACTCCAACCTACAACATGAATGAATGTTTATTCACCTTCTTCAAAACAAACTGCTTTAATTCTGATTTGAATGAGTGTCTGTGATATGAAAAGAAGAAGGGAGATGTGTACCCATGTTGCGAACTTGTTCTGAGATGTCAGCTCGTATATCTGAGACATCCAACATGGCGAGGAAGGAGTCGAAACAGGAGCCTTCTTCGTCCTCACGTACATACGGACGATAGCTGAAGCTGTAGTGATGTGCAATTGCAGCTAGGAACATCTCTATGCAGATAACAAAGTCCTACACACACACACACACACACACACAGACCGGACCATCAATACACTACAAGCAGATGATTCACAATTTTTTTGTTTCTCTATTGAACCTGACTGAGCAACATGCAGTCACATGTCATAGTGTTGCACATAACACTTCAATGGGTATAAAGTGTGTACCTGTAATCCTGTGGCTACAGCCTCCACACTCTCCCATTCCCATGTGTGTTTCTCAGAGATGACTCCAACCTTCACAAGAAAGGCAATGAGCACAGCCTGCCTGCAGAGGGCGATAGAGATACAATAATTATTTACAGTTTCCATCACAGACAGTGCATTTACACTTGGGCTTTCAGTGCAGGCTACTGAGGCTTTTCACTATATCATATAAAAATACATCTATAAATACATGCCGTTCACGCTAATAATATATAAACACACTCACTGGCCACTTTATTATAAAATCTGCCTTGTGTGTCCACTTTTGTACATTGTTTTGAAAGTAATTAAGAAACTAAGAAAGTCAACATTTCTTTAATTAGTATAAAAAGGGGGTTGTGGTGTGAAGCAGACAGCTGTATACTACTGTTCAAAAGGTCCTAAAATGACAGAGAAATATGTAAAACATCAGGAATGTTATAATAACATGATCAGGAATTACTCATATTTCAAAAGTGGGTATCTTATATGATCTAATAAATAACTAAAACAGAAATTCACAATATACCTTATTCATTAATAATGTCTTGCTATTCCAGAAACACAATATTGGATAAAAAGACTTCATACTCTTTAATCTGTAATGCACATGTTATTATTGTATATAAAACCACAAATTATTGACAACTTATTCTAATCTTTCAAGCAGTATTGTATGTGTGAATGTCAAGTTTACTGGGACAAATTCAAATGCCATAATCCACAGCAGTGAGTCATATCACAGGTCATTCATATCTGAAATCAGACTGGTCTAATTGTAATCTAATTGTCCTTGTTTACCTTCCTCAATGGCTCTGGCTATGTGTTTTGGCTTGTTTTCGTTTTCCTACTCTACCTTAGCCCTGCCCTTTTGTCATAACCCACAGCTGTGTCTTGTGTGTAACTCCACCCTTTAATAGTTCCCTGAGCTCGCTTGATCCTAGCCTCACCTGAGGCCTCCGCCCGGCCCAAGCCTCACCATAAGCCTCTGCGCCACCATGCTTGTGCTCAACTACACAGCACCACACAGTCCTGGAGGGCACTCAACTCCAAATTGCAGCTCAGTGTTGTCAGTTGTAATAAAAAGCTAACTTGGGCATCATGCGGCCTCTGAAGTGCTGTTGCAACAACTTTATCGCACACATGAAAAGCTGATGCTCACCAACTGTAGTACTGCGCAAATCAAGCACTGATTTAGCAGCACAGCAAACGGAAAAAAAACTGTACCATTTACACAAGTATTTTTCCCTATTCAGCTGCTGGCTTGTTAATGTGCCAGTTAAATCATTCTGTATATGTTGTGGGGCATGACATATGCTCTGTTCAGAGAGAGAGGGACTTTTGGGTGGTGAGTACAGTCTGCATCATATTTGTTTTAAATAAAAGAGAATTTTGAGTCAAATTATGGCCTCTTCTGTTTCTTCTTCTACACAGTGTCACAATATATTACAAGGAACATGTTTCAATATGTCTGCTCATTTGGGGTACCTAACGTGTTTTTAAGAAGCTTGAACACCAGCTAATTCATGGACACTTTGACAAGCAGTGGTTTGCTATGGCGTTTTGTGAAAAGGAAGTGCCTCACTATACCACATCCCCTGTGCTTTTAAATTAGTAGTGTTTTAGCTTCTCCTGTGCTGGTCCTAACAGACCAATGATAGACTGCTTGTTTCTCTCCACCTCATTTCTGCACTGGAGTATAAAAGGGAGCTTGTTTTCACTGCGGTACGACTGAATCATACACAGTGTAGATTGCAATCATCTGATGAAAAGAACAAAAATTTCACTTGCGATTGATTCCTCATTTCTCTGCTTTTTTATCTTCAGGGCCAAAAGTTTCCACAAGACACCATGTCAAGGGGAAAGGAGATTGTGGCCATTGCTCTGGCTCTGATAGGATGGATCACTGCTGTTGTTGCCTGTGTTCTGCCTATGTGGAAGGTCTTAGCTGTAACTAAAGCTGGTACTGGCAGAGCCCAAATCTGGGAAGGCCTCTGGATGGTCTGTGTTGTGCAGAGCACTGGACAGATACAGTGTACAGCCTACAACTCCATGCGGGCTCTACCTTCAGACCTGCAGGCAGCCCGAGACATGATTGTCATCGCCATCATCACAGCTCTTCTGCCTTTGACGCTCTCCTTTATGGGTGCAAAGTGCACTGACTGTGTTAAGGACAAAGCATTAAAGGCGAACGTCATGATTATCTCTGGGGTCTTGTTCACTATTGTTGGTTGTCTGGTGCTCCTCTCTACATCCTGGACAAGGAACACCACCATCCAGGATTCACAGCACAGTGATGTTGGAGCATCATTCAACGTTGGCTTTGTAGCTGCTGTCCTGCTCATGACTGCAGGGCTCCTACAATGCTGCACTGGCCCTCCAAGGAAGAGAAGGTAAAAGCTCCCGAAAACGGGCTCCTTTGCTCAACACCTACCAACGGATATGACAGGAAGCACTATGTTATTGGTTCCATGAAAAGAACTATAAAGATATTATGACCCCAATGAAAAGTGAAGATGTTTCTGAGAAGGCTCTTTAAAGTTCTTAGTATTTGCTTCATGATGTATTTACTGCACGGTTTTAGAGTTGCATTTAAAGGTGCACATTTTCCAAATTTCCAGTATGAAACAGATCCTTTCTAAACATGTGTGATTTGCCTTGCAGTGCTTTTACTGTTATTTTATTGCACATGATTGAACACATTCTGAATTTCTATTTTTAGATTTTATATGCAGGTCTTTTGCAGGTATACGCTGGTCCAATCTGATCCCTTGGTAAAATGTTTTTAAAATGCTTGAAGTAAAGACCAAGCCATATGTACATATTCTGACAAACAGTGGTTTCCTCTGGGGTTCCAATGAAGAGGCAGTACATTTACAGAAAAAAGAAAAAAAAAAAACACACACACCCAGAGGTGGGTAGAAGAGTCTAATCCCACACTAGTATAAAATATTGTTACTTCAGAAAACGGTGATTTAATTAGAAATAAAATGGCATATATCTTGTAACGTAATTAAGAAATCAACAGATACATTATTATGTATATATAGGGGCGGCACGGTGGCGCAGTGGGTAGCGCTGTTGCCTCACAGCAAGAATGGCCTGGGTTCGATCAGGATCATTTCTGTGTGGAGTTTGCATGTTCTCCCCGTGTCTGCGTGGGTTTCCTCCGGGTGCTCCGGTTTCCTCCCACAGTCCAAAGACATGCAGTCAGGCCGACTGAACATGCTGAATTGCCCCTAGGTGTGAATGTGTATGTCTGTCTGTCTGCCCTGCGATGGACTGGCGACCTGTCCAGGGTGTATCCTGCCTTCCGCCCAATGACAGCTGGGATAGGTTCCACCACCCCACCGCGACCCAGAAGGATAAGCGGTTTAGATGATGTGTGTGTGTGTGTGTGTGTGTGTGTGTGTGTGTGTGTGTGTGTGTGTGTATATATATATATATATATTTGGCAGTTTGGCAGATCTGATGTATTCACTTCTTGATGTAGGTCACATTTCTGAAATATGGACACTAAATTTTGATCTTAGTTAACACCCTGCACAACATGTACAATGTAGATGGCAATCGTCTTGTAAAAAGAAAGCAAAGAAAACAATTGATATCGGTTCTCAACCTCTCTGTCTTTTGCATTTTCAGGGCTCCTCAAGCAGTCACCCTTCAAAAGGAATGAAGATTGTGGGCTTTGCACTGGGTCTGATAGGATGGATCTTATCTATTGTCACCTGTGTTCTGCCGAAGTAGAGAGTCACAACTTTTAATGAAGTTAACAAAATCACAGCCCAGGTCATCTGGGAGGGCATCTGGATTTACTGTCTTATGCAGAGTACTGGATAGATGCAGTGTGGGGTCTATGGCTCTGTGCTGGCTCTACCTCCGGATCTTCAGCATGGTTGTACCATGACTGTCATCTCCATCTTTACAGCTCTGTACTCCACATGTTAATTATATGTTTAATTATGTATGTTTGTGTAAAGCCCGAAATTATTCATACCTCTGGCAAATTTTGACCTAAAGTTATTTTTATTCAACCAGCAATTTTTTTTTGACCATAAATGACACAGGCGTCTCCCAGAAGATAATAAGACAAAGTACAAGAGGAATCATTTGCATGTCCAAAATTATTCATACCCTTTGCAAACTGTCACAGTCTATGGGAAAATCCAAAGTTCTATACCATTTCAAATAGTCCAAGCTGTTCTGAAGCATCCTAATTACCCTGATTCATTGGGAACAGCTGTTTTAATCAACTCAACAGGTGAAAATCAGCTGCTCTCTGCAGTTGGTTTGTGGACAGTCATGGCTAAGACAAAGGAGCTCACTAAGGACCTGCGGCTGCGCATTGTGGCTGCTCCCAAGTCAGGAAAGGGCTATAAGGCCATATCTAAATGTTTTCAAGTTCCAGGGGCTACAGTGCAAAGTATTATTCAAAAATACAAGACGTTCCGCACTGTGGAAAATCGCAGAGGACGTGGTCGGAAGCCAAAAGTTACACCTGTGCTGGCCAGGAGGATAGTGACAGAGGTGAAGAAGAATCCAAGGATCACCACCAAGGCCATCCTGGTGAATCTGGGCTCTGCTGGTGGCAACGTCTCAAGGCAGACAGTCCAACGGACAGTGCACACTGCTTGGTTCCACGAACGCAGACCAAGGAGGACGCGACTTCTCCAGAAAAGGCACACAAAAGCCCGCTTGGCCTTTGCAAATGCTCATCTGGACAAAGAAGAAGACTTCTGGTCTTCTGTTTTATGGTCAGATGAAACAAAAATTGAATTGTTTGGCCACAATCATGTATCCTTCATTTGGCGTAAAAAAGGAGAAGCCTTCAACCCTAAAAACACCATCCCCACTGTCAAACATAGTGGTGAGAACCTAATGATTTGGGGGTGTTTCTCAGCCAGTGGACCAGGGAACCTAATCACAGTAAATGGCACCATGAAAAAAGAGCAATACATCAAGATTCTCAAAAACAACATCAGGCAGTCTGCAGAGAAACATGGCCTTAGACACCAGTGGACATTTCAGCACAACAACGACCCAAAACACACAGCAAAAGTGGTGAAGAAATGGTTAGCGGACAAAAACATTAACGTTTTGCAGTGGCCCAGCCAGAGTCCTGACTTGAATCCAATTGAGAATCTGTGGAGGGAGCTAAAGATCAGGGTGATGGCAAGGAGACCCTCCAATCTGAAAGAGTTGGAGCTTATCGCTAAAGATGAATGGGCAAAAATACCAGTGGAGGAATGCAAAAAGCTGGTCAGCAATTATAGGAAGCATTTGATTGCTGTAATAGCCAATAAAGGCTTTTCTATTGATTATTGAGAAGGGTATGAATAATTTTGGACATGCCACTTTTTGTTCAAATGTAAATAAAAGCTGAGGAATGTTTTTTTTTCCACAATGATGCCTCTTGTACTTCGTTTTATTATCTTCTGGGATATGCCCGTGTCATTTCTGGTCAAAAAAAAAAATTGCTGGTTGAATAAAAATAACTTTAAGTCAAAATTTGCCAGGAGTATAAATAATTTCAGGCTTCACTGTATGTGCAAACCTTTTGCTCTTTACTATAACTAATACTTTGCAACACAATTCATAAAGTGAAACTGAGTCTATATACAGTTGTATGCATAGTTTGAATCCCAAATTCAAATGATATGCTCTGTTTCATTTTTTAATGTAATGTAAATTTGAAGCAGAGCTTGTACCATTGTGTCATATTTGCTAAGAAAAATCTAAGCAGAGAAGAAGACTAAAGATGGGTATTTTTTTATGTCTGCCAATATCAAAGAAAATATATATGTGCTTTTTATAGGGGAGTCACATTCATCATTTTGTGAATACGATTTACTTAAATTGGTGTTGCTACACTGAATGCCAGCAACTTGAAACATGTATCTTCACACATGGTGTAATCTATGTGAAATACAGGTTTGTATGAATTTCAGGATTAAACCCAGTTATAATAGGCCAAATTAAACTTTCCCTCACACTTCAGAAAGCTGAGCAAAAGGTGAAAAAGAATGGTTGTGTGAAAAATCTAATTTACAATTCCCCCTGACCTTCCACTTACCTAAAATGTAGTCAAACAGCCAATACATGTTTGAGGTCCTAAATTTGCTTCTTTAGTTTTCCATTAGAGCTACAATGTGGCTCTAAAATGGTTGAGAAAGTTGTAAAACATCAAGAATGTTATAAGAAAATTATCAGGAATGGAGATGAAATTTCAAGGTAGATTATTTGACAAAAATATTAACCAAAAAGACTAATAAGTTCATACTATTTAATGTGTACTGCACATGTTATTATTATATATAAAAAACAAACTATTGACAAGTTATTCTAATCTTTTGAGCGGTATTGTATGTGTGAGTGTCAAGTTTACAGAGACAAATCCAAGTGTAATAATCCACAGCGGTGAGTAATATCACAGGATCATTCACATCTCAAACCAGAAAACAGACTGGTAGAGGCTAATTGTAATCTAATTGTCTTTGTCTGTTTTCTCTTCTTGTTTACCTTCCTCAATGGCTCTGGCCATGTGTTTTGGTTTTCCTACTCCACTTTAGCCCTGTCCTGTTGCCACACCCTCACCTGTGTCTTGGGTGTAACCCCACCCTTTAATGATTCCCTGGTGTTCCCTGTTCATGTCCACCAGCATCTATAATCTTTGTGTTTGTCGTGCACTCTGTTTGGTATTGGCACCACACAGAGCTCACTTGATCCTATTTTCACCTGAGGCCTCCATCCAGCCTGAAGCCTCACCTGAGGCCTCCACCCAGCCAAATAATAATAATAATAATAATAATAATAAGTTTAATTTATATAGTGCCTTTCTCAAACTCAAGGAAGCTTTACAAAAAGATCAGAAAATAACAAAATACATCCAAATACATACAAAATACATACTCAATAAACTTCTTCTTAAACAATAAATAAAACAACACAGAACACACACAACTCTACAATTCCAACAAAGGGGGATTACAATGACCAAAGTACAGAGTCACTTAGCTAGCCTAAAAAGAGTCTTTAGCCACAGGGGAAAGTCTCAAGTGTTAATCAGGGCCCAGGTCCAGGCAGCCTCTTAGCCACAATACAGCGTTACTCAAGCCTAAAGCCTCACCTGAGGCCTCTACCTCACCTCAGACCTCACCTGAAGCCTCTGCCCAGCCTGAAACTTCACCTGAGGCCTCTGTGCCACCATGCTTGTGCTCAACTACACAGCACCACACAGTGTCCCGGAGGGCACTCGACTCCAAACTGCAGCTGAGTGTTGTTAGTTGTCATGAAAGGCATTTGATCATTTGCATCTACATGATGATCAAATTTGATCATCATGTAGATGCATGAAGAGGAGCATTTTTGAGCAGAAATGATGGCCTCTTCTGACTCTTCTTCTACACAACTACACAATATTTTACATTTTGAGGAATGTGTTCCATGTCTGCTAATTTGGGCTACTTAACATTGTACTTTAAGAAGCTTGAAGACCAGCTAATGCATGGACATTTTGACAAGCAGTGGTTTGCTCTAGCTTTCTGTGAAAAGGAAGTGCCTCACTGTACCACATCCCCTGTGCTTTTAAAGTATTAGCATTTTAGGTTCACCTGTGCTGGTCCTAACAGACCAATGATAGACTGCTTGATTCTCTCCGCCTCATTTCTGCACTGGAGTATAAAAGGGAGCTTGTTTTCACTGCAGTATGACCGAATCATACACAGAGTAGATTGCAATCATCTGATGAAAAGAACAAAAATTTCACTTGCGATTGATTCCTCATTTCTCTGCTTTTTTTATTCTCAGGGCCAAAAGCTTCCACAAGACACCATGTCAAGGGGAAAGGAGATTGTGGCCATTGCTCTGGCTCTGATAGGATGTATCATTGCCGTTGTTGCCTGTGTTCTGCCTATGTGGAAGGTCTCAGTTGTTTCTAAAGGACATCTCAGCACAGTCCAAATCATCTGGGAAGGCCTTTGGATGAGCTGTGTTATGCAGATCACTGGACATATGCAGTGTACGGCCTACGACTCCATGGAGGCTCTACCTTCAGACCTGCAGCTAGCCCGAGACATGATTGTCATCGCCATCATCACGGCTCTGCTGCCTTTGACGCTCTCCTTTATGGGTGCAAAGTGCACCAACTGCATTAAGGACAGGGGATTTAAGGCAAAAGTCATGATTATCTCTGGGGTCATGTTCATTATTGCTGGTTGTCTGGTGCTCATCCCTGTGCACATGACAAGGAACACCACCATTCAGTTTTCAGTGCACACAGAGCTTGGAGCATCACTCTACTTTGGCATTGGAGCCGCTGCTCTGCTCATCATTGGAGGGCTCCTACTATGCTGCACCTGCCCTTCACAGGAGAGAAGGTAAAAGCTCCTGAAAATGAGCTCTGCTACCACGCAAGGATATGATGGGAGGCACTAATTTTTAGACGCTTTTAAAAGATATTATGACCCCAAGGAAAAGGAAGATGTTTCTGAGAAAGCTCTGTAAAGTTCTCAGTATTTGTTTCATGATGTATTTACTGCAAGAAGTTGCATTTAAGTTTGCAGTATGAAATGCATCCTATTAAAGATGTGTGATTTGACATAATTCCCTTGTAGTGCTTGTATTTTTATTCCAGAATTTCACACATTCTGAATTTTTTATTTTTACTCTTTTTATGCAGGTCTTTTGCAGGGAATAAATATTACAGTAAAATGACCTTATTTTTAGTGCAAAATGTGGCATTCTGGATTGGTATGTTTTGATTTTGGCCTATTTAATGACTATTTTATAGTGGTTTAATATTGACTTATAATCCAATTTGTAGTGATTTGGTTAGTAATCACCTTTTTAAAACTGTTTTTTTTTTTTTACATTGATCCCCATTGATCCCAATGCTAATTTCCACTAGCTTGTACTGTTAACACCAAGCTAATGGTGATGCACCTAATCACTTTATGGCAGCTTCTAAACTATCATAAACATTTAAGCGTGTAACAGCCATTCAGGTAAGATATGTGTTCTATTTTATTTTGGACAACGTTTTACATTAAAAAGCGAAACTATGCTGTATTTATATTTATTTACTTTATTTATTTTACTTTATTTTAAACACTGGCTATCAAACAGTGCCATACTATGCTTATATGATGTCATATACACTGTTTTCTGTTGCCAGGGCTTAATTACAGATGCATATTTTGAGTTCAAATGCTCATCATAAATCATAAAGACCCTCACTGAAGAATTCCCCTCTGCATATATTAAATCAATATTTGCACATTATGGACCAAGCAAGAGAAACCCCAAAATTCTTCTTTTTGCAAAAAAAAGCCTGCATTAAAAAATATTCTCAGAACTGTTAATACTTCTCATGGCTCAAAATCACCTTTTTCTTTCATGCAGCACTGTGCAGTGGACATGGGAAACTTGAAATTGTTACAGTGTATAAGTTTGATGAGGATCTGAGGATACTTCTGTCACCAGTGCAGTACAACAAAGAGAATTCAGCACAGTGAATGCTTTCTTACAGCTACAAACTGCTGAGCTGTCCTTCCTTCAGAAATTTCTTCAGTAACAGGCCTCCTCACGCTAATTTCGCTTCTTAAGCTTCTTAGGCACAAGTTAGAAAAGTGTTTTAGAAGTATTTCTAAAAGTTTGGGGCCCCTTGACATGTTTTAAAAAAAGCTTGAAGTAAAGACCAGCCCATGTGTGCCCATTTTGACAAGCAGTGGTTTCCTCTGGGGTTCCATGAGGCACCCAGAGGTGGGTAGAAGAGTCTAATCCCACGCTAGTTTAAAATATCGTTACTTCAGAAAACGGTGACTTAATTAGAAATAAAATGGCATAGTATTTTGTAACTAAAAAATCAACAAATATATTAAGCCTATGTCTGGTTTACTATATGAGTAGCCTATGTTCCTGTTAGCTGGAGTATAATCTGGTATAGTATAAACAAAACTTGAAGATGGTTTAGTATACATGTACTTTCAGCTGAAATATATTGGGTAAAAATTAATAAAATAATGATCAAACAGAATTACAGGGTAGCTGGAATATTAATTGGAAGTAAGAATGGAGGGAAAATAAACAAATGAATGGAAAAGGTACATAAAAAGTATGGGTGGTTTAAAAGTGGAGCAATGAGAGAAAAAACTAAAGAAGAAATTGACTTGATGCAATACATATCTTTGGCAGTTTGGCAGATCTGGCTTATTTAGTATAATGTGGTACAGTATACATATAACCATAAGCTGGTTTAGTATGCATAGGCTTCAACATGTACTTTCAGAGTAAAAAATAAATAATGAACCAATAAAACTGCAGGTTAGATGGAGTCAGATCAGTTTATGGAGCCTAAATATTATTTGGAAGGATAGAGGGATGATAAATGAACAAAAGAAAAGGAACAGAGAAATTATAGTTAAAAATAGAGCAATGGTGAAAAAAACTAAAGGAGGAACATCATTTTTTTTTCTTATTCACTGCTTGGTGTAGGTTACTTTTCTGAAATATGGACACAAAATTTTGATCTTAGTTATCACCCTACACAATATGTACAGTGAAGATGACAATCGTCTTGTAAAAAGAAAGCAAATAAAAGATAATTAATATTGGTTCTCAACCGCTCTGCCTTTTGCATTTCCAGACCGTCCATAAGCCGTCACCATTCAAAAACAATGAAGATTGTGGGCTTTGTGCTGGGTCTGATAGGATGGATCTTATCCATTGTCACCTGCATTCTGCCTATGTGGAAGGTCACAATTTATTTTGGTTTTAACATAGTGGAGGGCCTCTGGATGAGATGTGCTGTGCAGAGCACTGGGCGCATGCAGTGTGGGTTCTACGACTCTGCGCTGGCTCTACCTTCAGATCTCCAGTTTGCTCGTATCATGACTGTCATCTCCATCTTCACCGCTCTGCTGGCTTTGATTTTCCTCAAAATGGGTTTTAAGAGCATTAAGGACAAGGAATCAAAGGCAAAATTCATGAATGCCTCTGGGGTCTTCTTCATTATTGCTGGTATCCTGGAGCTCCTCTCTGTGTCCTGGACAACCAAAACCATCATTCAGGACTCCTACAATCCCATACTGATTTGGGGTCAGAATAGAGATCTTGGAGCATCAGTCTACATTGGCTTTGCAGCTGCTGCTCTGCTCATCATTGCAGGAGTCCTGCTATGCTGCACCTGCCTTGCATGGGGGAGGAGGTAAAAGCCCCCGAAGAAGAGCTGCTCTGCTCTATGCTCCACCAACAGCTGTGGAAGGAAGGTCTACATTTGAAATGCTTGAAAAGAAAAATGAATCCCAAGGAAACTGTTTCTGAGAAGGCTGTAAAGCTCTTAGTATTTGTTTAGTGCCATATTTGCTGTTTGCTTCTGGGGTTGCTTTAAGGGTGTACCTGTGAAATATAAAGTAAAAACTGTGATTTTATTGTTCCATTTATGTCATTTGTACGTCTTTTATATACAAGTGTTTTAATGAAATAAGTTGTTGTGTATGTACAAACATTTTGTACTGCACTTTAATCAGTACTTTGCAGCACACATTTAGTATGTTATGTTTATTTTCCAATGTTAAATATGTTAGCTGGCTAACTAACACAGCTAAATATGGAAGGTGAGTTGGCCAACTTTTGTATTTAATGTTCCAGAAGCTATTAACCTTCAAAGATGTCCAAGTTAGTATAGCAGTTTTGTAGAGATGACAATTTAGCTAGCTGCCTACCAAGTTGACCAAGCAACCAAATGTAGCAAACAAAAGCCTCTACTGGTCTGCCACATCCTGGAAGGTTGCCAGGTGTGCACACATTGCAATAAACATGAACCAATCATGTTTCAAAAACAAAACGTACAAGTATTTAATTAAAAAAAGTCAAGCCCTTTCGAGTCATCTGTCTCAAGTCAAAGTCGAGTCTTTTAGCAATGTTAGTCAAATAAGTCTCAAGTCCTTATATTTGCAACTTGAGTCAAGTCATGTGACTCAAGTTCCCCAACTCTGAGTCACCCCACTGTTTAGCAGAAATTGCCTGAAGCGACCTGTATGATACGTGAGATTATTAAAGGTGGAGCTTATAAGTGTATATGAATTACTTAAAACTTGTGTACACATAATAAAATGCATTTAAATTATCTTTGTTAATGAATTTGCAAGACCGAAACTAAAGTGGAGCACTCATTTTTAACTATCAATACTTTACTGTTAGCAAATGTGAAACAAATAACCTGAAGATATCTTTATTAATGCACACACAAGACCACAACTAAAGTAGAACTAACTCATTAGCTATATGAACTACGTTCTGATTAACAGGAAACACAAACATATACATAACTCTCTCTCACTCACTCACTCATCATCTAAGCTGCTTATCCCTTCTGGGTCGCAGAGCCTTTCCCAGTGCTCATTAGGCGAAAGGCTGGAAACACCCTGGACAAAACACCAGTCCATCACAGGGCACATTCACACACACTCACACCTAGTGGAAATTTAGTATGTCCAACTGGCTCGACTGCATGTCTTTGGACTGTGGAAGGAAAACCACACAGACACAGGGAGAACATGCACACAGAAAGGACACTGGTCTGAATTGAACCCAGGCCCTTCCTGCTGTGAGGTGACAGCGCTCATATTCATAACACATAACATAAATGAGTATGCTCGCAATTGAAATGTGACCACTTACTGGCATTTACTACCACATGCTTGAATTGTTAATACAGTTAAGTAATACCTGTTCATACTGTTTGATTAATATGTCACATAAAGACAATTAAATTGGCTTGCAACTGAAATATTATGAATGAATTAATATTTAACTCATTTCTCACCAGTTAATAACTAAACTAAAAGACACAATGGATGAATAAAATGCTTGCATTGCATGCACTAATGTGAGACATATCTTATTATCTTAAAGGGAACTCCACCTATTTTGCAAAATTACTTAATTATTCGACAGTTTAGATGGAAACAAGATCGTTCAGAGTGGTTCGGCTGGGCACCTCTGTTTTAGATGCTTGAAAAGAAGCATAAAGATATTATGACCCCAAGGAAAGTGAAAATGTTTCTGAGGAGGCTCTGTAAAGTTCTCATTATGTGCTTTGTGATGTATTTACTGTGTGCTTTTAGAGTTTTAAAACAAATACTGGACCAGATCACGTTGGATTGGGACAGCCCTACAAAAGACATGGAAGTAAAATTTAAAAATAAAAACGTTCAGAATTGTCTTATTTTTGAATTTATGAGTTACTTATATGAAACAAGCATGTAAACTAGGTTGTCACTTAAGCAACTCTAAAAGCACACAGTAAATACATCACAAAGCAAACAATGAGAGCTTTTCAGAGCCCAGATGCTTTCTTTAGGTCATTTGAAAACAAATGAAGATGACCGCTTGGATAAAGTTTCTACTCTGTTCTGCTCACATTCTCTTCTTTATTTCGCTACTATTCTTTACGCCTCTGAACGCTTCAGGGTGTTTTGGGGCCTTTTTTGGGGCCTTTTGTGCTTTGATTGGCTTTTCGTTCCAAAATAAGGACTGTTAGAGGGGAAAAATGTACTGTAATGAGAACAAACATACTTTGTTACTTTCCACCTCTGTTCATAAGTGTGCACTCATACATATCAATCATCGCTAGATGCACACATTGTTAAAGGCCAGTGCTTCTTAGCCTGGAGGTGTGAGTTGACTGTGTAAAAAAAGTACATGGGCTTATTTTTTTCTAGTTTTGAGAGTGATGTTTCCATTAAATCCTCCACATCTGGGTCTAGGCCAGTAAAAAAGTGAGTGGCCGCATGAATGAAAGCACTAGTAGTGAGTTACTAGTAGTAAGATTTTTTTTTAATTTATGGAGGTAGCTTTAAACATTCAAATGGCAGAGCTGCCAACTTTTACATATATATATTTATGTGTATATATATATATATATATATATATATATATATATATATATACATACACACACACACACACACATATATATATATATATATATATATATATATATATCACACATACACATAAATCACATTAAGTGACTTGAAAGCAACAACAGGTGGAGCAGAAAGCTGCTAGGTTCTGCTTTAGTTCAGTATTGATTATTAGTTGTCAGCACTCCACTGAACTGGTCAGCCTACTCTAATGTGGGCAGAATACAGTCCAATTACAGAGAATACAGGCAATGCACCAGTTCAAAAGCACCTGTTATCGTTAGTGAGTGGTCTATTTCCTCACCTGCCTGCATGTGATTCATTGTTAGTTCATTTTGAAGAGAAATGTAAAAATGCGTGAGAAATATTGTGTGTGGCATGAGCCCTAATGTGCAAACTGAGAATGAGTCAGCTGTAAAAATATCATATACACATCATTCTACTGAGCTGGTTCAAAGTCAGAGTTGAAAACACATTTCAGACTTTTAACTGACTTGGACTATAGACTAAAATCTTTTTGCTTTGGGGACTCTATGCCTTAATAATACTTATTTTAGGAAAAATAATGATTGAACATTCCATTTTGTTATTACCAAAAGAACCATAACACTACCAAAACTGTATCAAATGTTTTGGCAGTGATAATTCTAGCCAATTTTTATCATAACTTAAAAATGCTAAACAGTACATGACTAGCAAACACAGCTTTGAACAGTTATACACACATAGTCAAAGTCATAATATTTTTCATGAAAACACAAAAAAGTTGACTTATTTGCAGAAAATATGTGTTTGAGTGGTTTGCTCACCATGTGGCCATGAGGGACAGGGATGCAGTCTCACTTCCTGCTCTAAAATGCAGGGGCATGGCTAAAATAAGGCTCCACCTATGGACTAAAACTCTGTGTTAGGAAAACACAGGAAACTCAGGAAAACATAGGATTCTCATAATAAAGGATTAGGATTAAACTCATAATAAATGTAAATCCACAATCTTCACTCCAAAACAAATCTGAAACATCTTTTAAACACCATTGAAAAGAAATCAAATATTATTTCCACAACTTGAAATGTAGGGCTTTAGGGTTTGGGACAAACACCTCTCAATAGAAAGCACCCTATAAAGTATTTTTTAAATATATATATTTATATTTATGTATATACGGACACTGTCCCAGACAAACTGCATGTGTCAGGTGACTACTGGAGAGCACATCACATGAGTTGCCCACTGCATTCTCAGTGTGTGTACACTGTATGAAATAAAGCTTCTGCTCAGGTACATTTTTCGTTCATCAAGGTACAAACAATATAAATGTACCCTCAGTGGTTTTAAGGTCCAGCTGTGCACCTTAAATAAATTTTAGGTGAAAAGTACCCTAAGTACCCTGGAGTCAATACAACTTAGAAAATATCATTGTAATCGATTATGGTATAATTATGCTCCTGGACTAAAGGCACTGAGATGTACCCTTGAAGGTACCACCCCAGTGACAAGAGGGGAACTACCCCAGTGACAGTTTCATACTTTTTTCCTGAGAGTGTAGTTCCCAATTCAGCCCTGCTCAAGAGTGCTGTCATATAAGGGAATACAAATCAGCAACAGGCCTCCTTACATTGATTTTATCACTTAGGCTTTTTATACACAAGTTGAGGAAAGTGTTTTGCTAACTCTGCAAATTTGGGACCCCTAGTTAACTTTTTTTAAAAGCTTGACGAAAAAACCAGCCCATGTGTGCACGTTTTGACAACAGTGGTTTCCTCTGGGGTTCCACAGAGAGGCAGATCATTTACAGAGAAAAAAAACATGCAGAGGTCAGTAGAAGAGTCTAAAAACATGCCAGTTAAAATTTTGTTACTTCAGTGAAACAGTGACTTGAGTGTAAATGAAATGGCATAATATCATAATTAATAAATCAACAGTTAGATTAGGCTGTATTATGTCTGGTTTACTGTATGACTAGCCTACCTTCCCATTAGCTGTGGTTCAGTAGTGTTTCATAACATATTTTAATGCACACTTTTTCCGTGATCAGTGAGGACCGAGAAGCAAAAGATAAAGAGAGTTAAAAGGAATAAAAAGTATGACTAGTTTTCATAACCATACACAAAGGTAATAAAAGGGAAACTGTGGACAATGTGTCTGTAGTGTCTGGGATTTCTGAACCACAGAATTAGAAGAAAAAAACAACTGTTTTGTAATATAAATAATTGTCACTTCATTATGCTAGTTATGCTTAATTTATTATGCTGCCTGTCACTGTTGCTTAAAAACAATAGAA